ATTTCTTTGGGGGCCCCCATTTTAATAAGGTTTATAGTATTTTGGGTCGATATTGGGGTCCCCTTATTTTGGGAAACTACTGTTTGGGTGGTTCCCACTAGTTGCGGCATCCCATGCTGGTGTTGCCGCCATTTGTTTCCAGCATGCCACAGTTTTGCAATCGCACGCATCCCCGATGTATAAGTCATAGATCGTTTCTGCTGTCCGCAGCTATTTCATGACGCTGACTCGCTCGCTCCCCCGGTCGTTTTTTCTGTCTCGCTCCTGCTGATAGTTGATCTGGTTGATGGCTACTGTTCTCATGCCCTCTAATCGCCTTTGCTAACTGTGACTGGTGAGATTATTGTAGCATCTGTTGCCATCATCGGACCATCCGGATTCTTGTGATGTCATGCAACATGAAGGTATCTAGAAGGCCACCTGCTGGTTTGGGTTGACAGCAGGCCCGGTTCAGTAGACCCGGTTCAAGTGCCTATGAAACGGCCCCTTCGTTGGGAAACACAATGCCAACTAATACTAACGTCTCTGGAACATGAATACTGCATTGCGAGCACAAGTCTTGAATGTCTTGAATGCTCTTGAAACACGGAGGCATTGTAGAAGCTGAGAGGAGCTCTCAGGATCTGCAGCTGGCACAACATCCCAGGAAGTGACCCTAAACTTAATCCGGTGACCACAGGCTTCTGGCGACAATCCAAGTGCGGGAACACCCCGCTCGCTCAAACACCTGATGACTGTAATCAGCATCCCTGAAGTATTCCAAACGCTGCCTGCAGCCCAAAACGAATTTGCACTTCTAGACCACAAACCCATTCTTTAAGCTTCAGGACAGCTCCTCCACAGGGCAAGAGTCGTCGCGAGGCCCGGGCAATTGCATAAAAGTACATTCGATCTTTCTGGACACTGCTTGTGGATGATTAGGTCTTGACCGCGGTGCATATCTCCACAAGCAGCCAGTTTGGATTTGCCTTGAAATTGCAAGAGGTTTTTTGTCGTTTTGCCATATGGAGGGTTCGCCTGCAACGAAGCGGGACAGAGAGTGATCTAAGTCGGCCAGAGTGTGAAAGGGGATTTGGGCTATAGAAGTATGCCCAACAGGTCCTGAGGTGGAGCTAGACTGGCTTGCGTATGCCTTAAACCAAGCTAATCTCGTAACGAGTGCTGGAAGAGTCGATGTTCAAAAGCTTTAAGCACAAACCGCTTGCACAGCATGTTAGAAAAGATTCCGCCAGTTCCTTCAAGTGCCATGGACAGAAGCGCTCTGCAGGCTGGTCGATTTTCTCCAACTCCCGAAACCCTCCAAACAGCATAGCTCCTGCCAGACAGTTGTATGACATTCCTCCGCCCCCATAGCCCAGTGTGTACAGTAACTTCTGTCATGTTTAAATTGCATCCGCAGCCCTAGCGAGTGCTGATACCTGTGACTCGAACTACTACCCAGAGGACACCTTCCACTCTCCAAACCTACATCCTGCTGTTTTTATGCCACCGGACGATGCTGCTACTTCTGCAACCACTAATAAAATTACGTTTTAGTCCAAGCTAACCTATATATATCCTTGGACCATCAGAACCACCACGGCTGTGATCTCGCGCAGCCAGGCTCTTCCCACCGTGGAGCCGTGGACTTCATGCTCTCGGGATGCACTAGTAGCCATCTGTGTGAAGTAGTGGGGTGGCTTTCAGGTGCTCAGGATGCCTTAATGCAATTCCAGACAAGCCAGTAAGAGTGGATCTCGCACAAACAGCCTCTTCGTTCGTATGAGCTCTGGAAATGTGTCAGGGGTTCGCAGGTTTGACGGTAGCACTTTCGCATTCGATGCTTTCTTGCGCTTATCTGGCGCCACGTTCGGTTTGCTTAGGTGGATTTTGCAACTCTACTGAAGCCCCACGTGCTACATCCCACTCAGCAGTCAACTCACCTCATAAGCGAATCCCTCTCCCTAATAACAGATGTTCCCATTTTGGTGTAGTTATCATGATGGAAAATGGTGTGTTCTCAAAATCTTGGGAATATTAACGAATATAGGGGGCTGGGGGTTTCATTTTTAGGGGGGGATTTATGTGATGATGCGACCCTGGAGGAGTCGCTTTGTCTTGATGGGGTCCTGTATCTTGAGGGCCATCTTTTGATAATGATTGATGATTATGGGGTCATCTAAGCTGACCATTGCAGATCATGTAGGGTGCAGGGTATTCGGGAAGTTTATGGAAAACACTCGTGTTGGGCCATTTTTTTTTTCCCGAAGGTTTGGCTCTACCCTGGTTTGG